ATCTTATGTAAGGTTAAGAAGAATTGCTCTTATCTTATGTAAGGTTTAGAAGAATTGCTCTTATCTTATGTAAGGTTAAGAAGAATTGCTCTCATCTATATCTTGCCTACTACAAGTGCTATGTTGATTATACATTTACTTGCATCAATTGTGTTTATCTAGATTATCTCTACTGAATGCATATTGCGGATGCTGATTTCTACCTATATTTTACGCTTCATGTGTACAATAACTTTTGCACTGCAAGCAGGGATATCAATGACAGTGTCTTGTTATATTTGACATTCTACCATCCAACACACGGATGCAGACATCCAATTTAATTCTGACTATAGGAATTTACATATTCCTCTGCTGTCGGTTCTATGAATAAAAAATTCAGTAATAACGAGGACAAACTAAGATTTCTCCTCAATCTGCCATATCCCGAAATTGGAAATATGGGGAAAACAGCAAGGTATGATTCCCCAAAAAAGTGTTCCTAAATGTAGATGCCAAAGGCTAACTAATACCCCCTGCTTCTATATAAACCAGAACTGTAAGCCAAAGGCTAACTAATACCCCCTGCTTCTGTATAAACCAGAACTGTAAGCCAAAGGCTAACTAATTATAATGTCAGCAAGCTACCCCCTGCTTCTATATAAACCAGAACTGTAAGCCAAAGGCTAACAAATACCCCCTATTTCTATATAAACCAGAACGGTAAGCCAAAGGCTACCTAATTATAATGTCAGCAAGCTACCCCATGCTTCTATATAAACAAGAACTGTAAGCCAAAGACTAACTAATACCCCCTGGTTCTGTATAAACCAGAACTGCAAGCCAAAGGCTAACTAATACCCCCTGCTTCTATATAAACCAGAACTGTCAGCCGAAGGCTAACAAATACCCCCTGTTTCTATATAAACCAGAACTGTAAGCCAAAGGCTTACTACAGCAAAACATTGCAATCCATGGTTTTCCACCAGTAATGATTTCTTTATTCACTGCGCTGTACACTTATTTAAGTATATAGGTCACTGACATACTTTCTGTACTCCCTCCCAATGCCAAAACATACTTGCAAACCAAATCGTGTTAGTCCAGTGAACAAGTTTTGCTGAAACCATCCCAGTAGCTAAGGAAGAGATGTCAGGACAAAGATTTTTAACAAAGGGCCATAACTCCTTAAAAAGTGTTGAAATGAAAAAATACTACTCTGATGCACGATATCAGGGGGCAGTTATCATATCTGTAAACTTTCTTTGAAATTGGCCCAGTAGATTAGGAGAAGCTGTCAGGAGACAAAGGGCCATAACTCCATAAAAAAGGGTTGACAATAAAATATGTGTGGATGCACAAAATCAGTGGGTAGCTATCATATCTGAAAATTTTCCGTTAAAATTGGCCGCATAGTCTTGGAGGAGTTGTCTCGACAAGTATTTTTCAACAAAGGGCCTCTACGAAAAAAGATCGAATTGAAAAAATAATACCTGTATGCAGAACATCGGGTGGTAGTTATCGTATCTGAAAACCATCATTGCAATTGGCCCAGGCCAGGTTTTTTGGAGACGTACGTTGTACGGGCAAGTATTTTTTAAACAAAGGGCAATAGCTCCGTCAAAAGGGTCAGGATGAACATTATAAAACCTGAATGCACAATTTCAGGTGGTAGTTATCATATCTGGAAACTTTTGTTGAAATTTGCCCAGTACTTTTAGAGAAGTTTTCCAGGCAGGGATTTTTCAACAAAGGGCCATAACTTCGGAAAAAAAAAGAAGGTCAGAATGAAAAATAATACCTGGATACACAGGTTCTGGTGGTGGTTATCATATCTAAGAATTTTCATTGAAATTGGTCCATAACTTTAGAAGGAGTTGTACATGTCTGTCAAACTTTTTCTACAGAAAGACAGACGGATGCAGCTAAAAATATGCAAAATTTTCACCACATTTGAAATATATCCAACATTGTAAACGTGCCTATATATAAATGTAGTTACAATGGTAGTTTATATTTTATTCTTATTTAAAGCATTTCCATATATATATTGTCTACAGAACCATTTTTATGTAATATCAAACCGGTCAAGTATGTTTTTTAGCATGCCAATCATGAGAGATTGTGTTATAGACAAAGATATATATGTAGATAATACAATAGGCCCAATGGGTCTGAATCAAATCGCTCACCTGGTATTAATCCCACACTTGTAATCTTAAAAGTGGACTAAAATACAGCTACAGGCACAATATCAGTATTTTATACAAAATTGAGTCCCCTTGGCCCAAGGATGCTTACAGACGAAATTAGGATAAAATCCATTTACCCCTATGGTAGAAAAAGGATTTTAAAGGTTTTACCTCTATTTTCCCTATTGGGCACACTGTCCCTCTGTCCCCAGGGAGGCCACACCAACCGTTTATACAAAATTGAGTCCCCTTGGCCCAAGGATGCTCCAGACCAAATTAAGTCAAAATCTACTGGGCCGTTCAGGACAAGTAGCGAACGACGGACACTGCGGTATGGTATAAGCTAACCATAGTCCTTCTGACCAGGTGAGCTAATAAATGTAATATTGTTTTTAACAGTATGACCTTTAATACCTACCGCTATTTGTATCCAACCTTGAAGTTTGTCATCACTTAACAAGAGACCGGTCATTACCACCTGACCATGAAGTTTGTCATCACTTAACAAGAGACAGGTCATTACCACCTGACCATGAAGTTTGTCATCACTTAACAAGAGACCGGTCATTACCACCTGACCATGAAGTTTGTCATCACTTAACAAGAGACAGGTCATTACCACCTGACCATGAAGTTTGTCATCACTTAACAAGAGACAGGTCATTACCACCTGACCATGAAGTTTGTCATCACTTAACAAGAGACAGGTCATTACCACCTGACCATGAAGTTTGTCATCACTTAACAAGAGACAGGTCATTACCACCTGACCATGAAGTTTGTCATCACTTAACAAGAGACAGGTCATTACCACCTGACCATGAAGTTTGTCATCACTTAACAAGAGACAGGTCATTACCACCTGACCATGAAGTTTGTCATCACTTAACAAGAGACAGGTCATTACCACCTGACCATGAAGTTTGTCATCACTTAACAAGAGACAGGTCATTACCACCTGACCATGAAGTTTGTCATCACTTAACAAGAGACAGGTCATTACCACCTGACCATGAAGTTTGTCATCACTTAACAAGAGACAGGTCATTACCACCTGACCATGAAGTTTGTCATCACTTAACAAGAGACAGGTCATTACCACCTGACCATGAAGTTTGTCATCACTTAACAAGAGACAGGTCATTACCACCTGACCATGAAGTTTGTCATCACTTAACAAGAGACAGGTCATTACCACCTGACCATGAAGTTTGTCATCACTTAACAAGAGACAGGTCATTACCACCTGACCATGAAGTTTGTCATCACTTAACAAGAGACAGGTCATTACCACCTGACCATGAAGTTTGTCATCACTTAACAAGAGACAGGTCATTACCACCTGACCATGAAGTTTGTCATCACTTAACAAGAGACAGGTCATTACCACCTGACCATGAAGTTTGTCATCACTTAACAAGAGACAGGTCATTACCACCTGACCATGAAGTTTGTCATCACTTAACAAGAGACAGGTCATTACCACCTGACCATGAAGTTTGTCATCACTTAACAAGAGACAGGTCATTACCACCTGACCATGAAGTTTGTCATCACTTAACAAGAGACAGGTCATTACCACCTGACCATGAAGTTTGTCATCACTTAACAAGAGACAGGTCATTACCACCTGACCATGAAGTTTGTCATCACTTAACAAGAGACAGGTCATTACCACCTGACCATGAAGTTTGTCATCACTTAACAAGAGACAGGTCATTACCACCTGACCATGAAGTTTGTCATCACTTAACAAGAGACAGGTCATTACCACCTGACCATGAAGTTTGTCATCACTTAACAAGAGACAGGTCATTACCACCTGACCATGAAGTTTGTCATCACTTAACAAGAGACAGGTCATTACCACCTGACCATGAAGTTTGTCATCACTTAACAAGAGACAGGTCATTACCACCTGACCATGAAGTTTGTCATCACTTAACAAGAGACAGGTCATTACCACCTGACCATGAAGTTTGTCATCACTTAACAAGAGACAGGTCATTACCACCTGACCATGAAGTTTGTCATCACTTAACAAGAGACAGGTCATTACCACCTGACCATGAAGTTTGTCATCACTTAACAAGAGACAGGTCATTACCACCTGACCATGAAGTTTGTCATCACTTAACAAGAGACAGGTCATTACCACCTGACCATGAAGTTTGTCATCACTTAACAAGAGACAGGTCATTACCACCTGACCATGAAGTTTGTTATCACTTAACATGAGACTGGTCATTACCACCTGACCATGAAGTTTGTCACCACATAACAAGAGACCGGTCATTACCACCTTACCATGAAGTTTGTCATCACTTAACAAGAGACTGGTCATTACCACCTGACCATGAAGTTTGTCATCACTTAACAAGAGACAGGTCATTACCACCTGACCAGCTTAAGAAATTAAATATTTTGACTTAGTAAAGCATACACTTAAATTTAGTACCTATGATGGAACTTGTGAATTATAAACATTTGCCCCTTTTAATATACATTTGTAATTATATAAAAAAGAGGAACGAATTACTCTATTGTTATCGTGTTTATTAAGTTCATTATCACTTTTCTGGTCTCCATTTTTCATCAAATGTTAAGGATGTACACCTCTGAGAAATCAAAACATTCATGTATTCAACTTTTTCTTATATACATTTTTTCTAAAACGTTTGCAGAATTGATAAAAATAGCCTTTTCTTTTAAATTATTAAAGTAAAATTTCTGAATCTCATTTAGCGATTTTAGTTACCCCTACCCCTGGTTTTTTAATCACAAAATAATCTTTTTTTCACCAATTTTTGCAGAATGCTTGATATAAAAAGTTCTGCTATTAAACTTTTTTTAATATTTAATGAATCAAAAGAAAATGTGTTTCTCTTTCTAAAACAGACAAAAATATGGAGTCTGTGCTTCTCTTTTTGTCCCATTACTATATGTGTTATTTTTCACCTTTTTCAGGGTCAAAAACATTCAGTAACATGTACACTAAACATGTAAAAAAAATTACCAATCATGTATAATTTTCCACTTCGTTGCATATTATTTTCATCATATTGAACATAATAAAGTTTTACAGCAATAATGAAAAACTTGCTACAATTAAAAATGGTGACACAATCACAAATTAAGTGATCAATTGAGTGTCAAAAAAGTTGATTTTTTTTGTCTTTCAAGTTTCATGAAACGCAAGAAATACACATTTTTAAAACGCAGCCAAATTGGTCATTTTTATTTTATTTTTGTAAAAAAATCTACAAAAACAGGCATCTAGTTTTTCGACATATTTTTCAGCTTTGTGTTTGCTAAAAAAAGTGATAAAAAATGGATACTTTTTAAAAATTACAAAAACCTGTTACACAAGATCAAAACAAGACTTTAAAAACGTGATTTAAACCTCAGAAGAGTACATCCTTAATAAAATATGACATATATATATATATGAAGCTAGTTTTACAACAATGTTTACATCCACATTTTCAGTAAAGCAGATCATGATATGAGGAAACTCAGCATTTTGTAGTTACCAGCGATACTGATGAGGAAACTCAGCATTTTGTAGTTACCAGCGATATTGATATGCTACAACATTGAAATGAAATTTAAATGTGATGCAAATTTAAATTCAGCTATATTAAACAGTACTATTGAACTGTTTACTAAATCAATTAATCTATGGATGTTCTTAAATCATCAGAAATAATATCCAGTTGAAAATTTAAATAATCAGAAAAAATATGAATACTGATGTTTTTTATACTCAAATTAACATGAATTTTCATTATTCATTCAAATTTCATATAATGTGTGAACCTTTTTCATGGTAAAGAACAATTGATATCTGTACTTTAGTCCATCAAACTGGAGTTAACATTTTAGTCTACTATGTGTGCACTACAAAGTGCACTAGATACCAAGTTACGTTTGCTCCAAACTGTATGTCAATTCTGTTAGAAAAACGGTAAACATTTTTATCGATATTATACTCATTGCCAACGAGAAAACGAGAGTTGTCTCCCAAAATTTAGATTTAGTATTAAATAAATATCAAAGAAATAGGCAAACGCATTTTCTCAGTTTTGTATTATGTATACAACTGTAAAAGCATTTGTTTTTTCTTAAATACTAAAACTAGAGTACAGGAGATAACTAATCTTGTTTTATCTACTAATCCGTGCGGTGGTAGTATATAGTAGAACTGGGGTGTTTTTTCCATCAGAATCAACATACATACTGTCAAATATCATTTATTTCTCAATGTTAACAGACTTTTCACAGCTGATTTTTAATTGCATGTCAATATCTACTGCCTATTCAATTATACAGTATGCAACTGTATTTTAAAATATTAAACATTTATGGCACACGATCAAGCCACTATCCAACTGTACATGTACATCATGATTACTTTCCTTTCAATGTTTTTATAATGAGGCATTGTTTATGTGCAATCACATCAATAGATGATCAAGATGTCCTAACAACACATTCAGGTTCACCAATCTTCATAATACACAGCTGTACACATGTATATACACAGGGACATTTATACAATTTGCACATACAGGTGGGCTAGAATTTGATTTTAAAAACCACTAGTCAGTAGGCTAGTTTCCAATTATATTAGTCCCTGTGCAAATTCATCTGACCAAAATTTATTCAACATGATAATTAAATATAAGTAATATCAAATTTTGACTAGACAATCAAGCTGTCAGTTTTTAGAATAACTAGTTCAACTGGAGATTCCACTAGTCTCACACCAGCAGACTCTTATTGTCCTGCAGCCCGACATACAGAAACAGATATACATAATCATGATCAATGAAGCTTGATGAACTCCTCCAGAACAAGGGGAACAACTCCTTCGTATTTTATATCTTGTCTTTGTATAGACTTTGCTGCAATACATTTCAGAGACAGCCTACTATTTGTCCTCAGAATCACAACTGCCACCCCTGACGAAGCTAAATCAATAGGTGTTTTCCGTTCACTATTGCAAATATCGAGGTGAGCACCATTCTTTATCAAATTCATGAGAATTTGGTGGAGAGTTTCAAAGTCACTGATTGGATTTGAGTATTTGACAATTAAATGCAGAGGGGTGTTTCTATGACAGTCCAGGCCGTTTGGATCAGCCCCACACTCAATAAGTAATCTGGTAAGGTTGTTGTTGGGGAAATTTACCACATCATTCACATGGAAGTCGTCCACCAACGTCGCACTGTCAACAGCCATGTGCAAAGGACTATAGTCATTCTTTAAGACTGGTTTATTTTGTAGAAATTTATACACCATTTTGTGCAATTCATCAGTGTCTTTTGATTTTGGCACTTTCTGTGCTATCACAAGTAGATAGAGACAAGTGTGTATATTGCTTTGATATATCTCCACAAGAGCCTCCTTCTCATCTTCCCCTTTCGCAATTCTTTCTGAGTCACGGTGGAGTTCTATCACAGCATGATGGAAAACCTCTTCCACATTTTTGAAATCCAGAATCACTCCTATGTGCACCATTTGTGAAAAGACCTGTGCAAACCTGAGAAGATCCTTTGAAATGGTTCTGTTGTTGCGCTGTCGAAGCCTCATAGCGTGCAACCATAAGGCAATACATCTGTCAAATCTAGCACTATCTGCAAACACAGCGCCACGAAAAATCACTGGATGGGGTACTTCTGGATTGTCTGCACCAAGAATTCGTTCTCTAATGGCAAGAGATTCCATATGAAGTGCCCCAAAGTCCTGCCTTATTGCATCCAGCGCAACAAGGGTTTTACACTCAGCATGATTATCATATGCAGGGATTGGGTCACACTGAGGCTTTTCAATAGTACTTTGTGGGTTACTGTATCGAACATGCATGGCTTCTCGAAGATATAGAAACGCTTTGTTAATATCATAATTCTCTTTGTCATTTGCATAAGAAGCTCCTAACAGCTCCAACGCATCTATCTTTTCTTCTCGCTTACATTCAGGTAGGGAAATTAAATACTCAACTACCTCAGATTTCCCGCACTCAGCCGCAACTGTTAGCGGCGTCATGTTATGATCATTTTTTAATCTGGATGCACCAAACCTGACTAACTCATGAACTATATCTAAATGTCCACATTCTGATGAGAAATGTAACGCTGTAGCCCCGCAGTGAGCACTGCAGTCTGGGTTAGCCCCTTTCTCCAGGAGGTAGCGTACAACATCCTTATGACCCTTGTAACTCGATATCATCAAACACGTATTGTTATATTTGTTGGATATTTTCGGGTCTGCGTTATGTTCGATTAGATATTTAACAATGTCCAGTCTGCCATCAAAACACGCGGCTCTGAGCGGTGTAGAGTTGGTCAGTGTAGGGTGGTTAACGTCTGCTCCATGGTCGATCAACAATTTCACCACACCGAAATGACCGGCTCCTGCAGCGCACCATAACGACGTGGCTCCTTCAATAACAAATCCGTCGAACTTCACGACACCTGTCTGCTCTATATCCACCAAAAAGTTAGTCAATAACACAGCGACTACCTTTTCTTCACCGTTCCGTGCTGCAATAATAAGCGGTGTCGTTTTCTGTCCATCTTCGTCAGAATGGTGCTCCAATACTTCTTTTACAATCTCCCTTTCAACGTTCCACAACATGGCGAAAATACTTATAGCCATTCCATCGCGAGCAGATGTGAATACTTTGTGTTTTAACGTTTTTATAACCTCTGGAGTATATTCAGAGGCCATGACTTAAAAAATACATTCAAAGCTGGCTTTGTAAACAATCACCTATTTCGGTAGCCATACTTGTTCTGCTCACGGCGCATGTCAACATTAAGCGTTACTACGAGTTACCTCCCTTATTCCATAAGTTTTACGTCCAATTCAATAGGCCTATCGAGTAGCTAAGTAAACTTCATAGCATCATAAAACTTTTGTTATATATGGCCACATATAATAAAATATCATCCGTGTTTAAATAACTGTGATTGTTTGCACGATTGTAGATGGCAGTTATTAATATTTATAATAAATATAGTTAATTATCCTTATCGGGTATAAGATATATTTGATTAAAGAATTGCAATTAAAGGATCGGGCCAGGATAGGACTAAATTACATATATATATTACATATAATCTATTTTTTAAAAGAATTGCAGCGAAATAAGAGTAATGCTTATTGATATTTGGCACTGGTAAGCATATACTAATATTATGTGGAAGTTGCACAATTAAAATTTCGCCGTAATTATTTTTCTCAACATGTAAAAATTATTTGAAAGCCAAGTCATTACTGCATTGTTCACGTCACGAGGTCGTGGACCCCGTTTCCAGGTTTCCTTCATTCTCTATTTCAGTAATTGTGGTTTATCAGTACGTCATGATGTAGAGACATGATATTTATTTACGTCTCAACTCATTGCATAAAACACACATCAATGCATGAATCAACAATAAAATAAACACGTTAAACATATTATCAACACTAAAAAATGAGCCATCCACTATTAAATTATTAGAGTTGAGTTGCATGAAATCATACATCGGTAAAGTATCTTATAATTCATCTGGAATAAAAACTTTTAAAGCAACCATATCTTTGCTAAAACGTATTCGTCTTATCATAGAAACATATACATGCGATCAAGCAGTTAGAAATATAAGAACCAGTCTCAATATATTAATTCTATTCATGCCATAAAATGGTGTTATTAAGATCATATATATAAATTTAACAGAAAATATTTTCAACATATAAAATTACTTTTTAAAACACACAAGTTAAACTGTTAGTTCTTCAATTTTGTTACACATAATAGTATCACTTCTGTAACAATACTGTAACAATACTGTAACAATACTGACTGTTACAATACTGTTACGGTATTGTTACTGTATTGGTACAGTATTGTAACAGTCAGTATTGTTACAGGATTGTTACAGTCAGTATTGTAACAATACTGACTGTAACAATACTGTAACAATACTGACTGTAACAATACTGACTGTTACAATACTGTAACAATACCGTAACAATACCGTAACAATACTGTAACAATGCTGTAACAATACTGACTGTAACAATACTGACTGTAACAATACTGTAACAATACTGACTGTAACAATGCTGTAACAATACTGTACACTATAGAAGATCACCATTGCCCAAGATGTGTGTTCAATCAAAGGAAACTTCTCAGTCTAAAAAATAGCCAACGTTATACTCCAGATTACATGTTAGTCTATATGTCAATATAAGTTAATTGAAATACGTGTTTTACGCAAATAAAGATTGAAGTCCATATGTTAGATTGTTCGACCACATCGGCCTTATCTGTTTTAGAAAAAAATACTGTATATTAATTGTATATGTAAAGAAGAAAGAAAAACAATGAACCGCTTCAATGGTATGAAGAAAGTCCAAAGTGAAAGTCACTTGCATTAAGACGAGTTCCAAAAATTGTCAGTGAGAAGACAAACAAAAACTTGTATGGAATTAATTTATCATTTCAAAATGATTTAACGTCCAAGAAGCCCAAGGAGAAGAAAGTGATACTGTCAACAGCTAAGTATACAACACAGATTATGTACTTTTATCACGGAGTAAGTTCGTCATTTTATTATCAAATATTTTAGTAGACTATAACTAATTTTGGGGGAAATCCCCTATTTGCCAATTCGATTAATAATTTATCTCCGCCTTCGCCTTCATTGCATAACTAATATATATATGTAAGCCGGCCAGTACGTGTACTTGTGATTGATTGATTGATTGATAGGTTTTACGTCCGCTTCACTACCGCGTATTTCGGTTATCCAGCAGACCGTACGTGTACTTTGTACATATGATATATATACATGTATGTGCACGTAGCCAACCTAGTCAAGTGACCTTGACACTGTCCTGTCATGTTATGTAACACTGACCTGGGGCGTATCCGGTTAAAACGGCCCCACTGCAGTAACGGCCCTAGTGAAAACGGCCACATCCTATATATACTTATATAGTACTGTAAGTACTACAAAGGCCAGGTCGATATATAGTGTCATATATACTTAGCTGTTGACTCCTGCACGGTACTACTCAATTAATCTATCAGTATCTTTTATTCTGATCTCTGACTCTTTTTCTACTGTCCTATTTTTCTGCTTTTCTTATACTATGTCAAATATATTATGTGCTATTTATTAGTAGGCCATTGCTAAGTTTTGCATATGTGTATCTGTATTTTGGAGCGGACATTGATAAGTTGTGATAACTTGCGTCCAATCCTCTTGTGTAGTACTTATGCAATAAAATTTATTTAAATTCAAATACATGTACATCAATGTTCATATATATATATATACGCCCCTTTATACTTATATTATAATTGTTATGTTCATATATATACGTACCGTTATACTTAGCGATTCATTGAAATATACATCAATGCTCATACATGTATATATACGTCCCGTTATAATTACATTATAATTGTTGGCTGACATCCTCTATTTATATTCACTAATAATCTGATTTGTAATAAATTGAATTCTAAGTTTATTTAAAACCCAATCAAATTGTATTTAAACACGATTCAATAAGTAGGGCCGTTTCAACTAGGGCCGTTTCAACTAGGGCCGTTTTTACAGTGAGGCCGTATTGACCTAGATTCGACCTGGGGCCTGATCGTTTATGCGGAACAACCGGTTTGACCGTTTATAAATGTAACAATTTCGGGTATAAATCCTGGCGGGCCTGCAAATGTGTATGCAGGTCTTGTAATGCGTTGTCAAGGCTCGCCTGAAATCAGCATCAGATAACTAGGTCCGACCTTATCTAATAAACGAACAACAGTGGTCCGACCGGTTTGACCGTTTAAACGAAAACGGCCCGATTTTGGACAGTACACATATTGCACGCTTCAATTTCCCCGCCTGTTCTTCCTTAATAACTTCCTGTTCAGCTGACGACCCCGATATGTGAGTCAGTATATGTGTCTGGCTCGCGAGGGCGACACATCCCGTTAGCTATTCCTCTTCATGAGAACACATCCTCGCGGAGATCTTAGAATCATCAAATGGAACATCTGATATTCTGGTCAGCAGAATGCGTGTGTGTGTTTAAGTCATGTTTTACTTTCGGTTTCCATGTATATTGTCCGCGTTATAGTCTGTTTTATTGTTCAGGGTGTAAGAGTGTGTTTGTATGTTATAGAACCAAACTCACAACGTCTTATCGTTACTTGGTTGCGACACTGTGTGACATATATATATATATATATAGAATAAAAACATAAATCTTTCAGATCGTCCGCTAGGCCTTTCTGCCTTCTAGGGCTTCTTCAGGCGGATTGATGTTTATTTATCACCGTTGGTTAAAGATTTATGTTTTTATTCTATATTTTCCTTCGCAAGGACTTATTTATTTATTATCTACTATATATAATATATAATTTATATTAATATATATAATATATATGTGAACTATACATTTCTGCATATACCCGAAATTGTTACATTTATCACGGACTTAGATAACATCTAATTCCGTGCATTTATAAACGGTCAAACCGGTTGTTCCGCATAAACGAACAGACCCCAGGCCAGTGTTACATAACATAACATCACAGGACTCTGAATATATATATTTATATTTACCTGTGATACACCTAATTAGTGTACCTTCTTGGATTGTTAAGTGCCCGGGGACATGGACCCGGGATATTTGCCCGAGTCCTACTCCAGATAAAGATTTCTGTTATTTCCTAATTAGTGTCACAAACTCAGGGTTATTAAAAGTGTATGAATACAGTATCTCTGGGAGTGTCGAATCAAATTTGAACACGGAATTAGGCAACAACTTTTCATGTCATTTAGTATTTTTCTTTTGGATTGATCAGAGACGTATATATTTCTTAATAATGTAATGTATACGTCTCTGGATTGATGTACAAGAAGCGTATAACGTAATTCCTTTTATTTATATCTTTTATTTTTAAATTGGTTAATGACATCCTACTCGTGTACCCTTCATAAGATTGATCAGAGACCTATATCTGGAAAAATATTAATCTAATTCATTTTCACATTTTATTAATTTGCTACTGTTGGATGAAACGAGTTAAAGTGTACCCTGAACGAAAATAGGAATGAATATATTACTATTCTAAATGATCCAAACACAAAAATGTCGAAATACCGAAATATTGACGTGTAAATTGTATGATTTTCACCTGTCCTTCTTCCAGAGGCTATATACTACACGCTTTATACGTCTCTGCTTCTACTATAGCTACTTATTAGCATCATCGTAACTCGCGGTGAATTGGCTCCTGACGGTTGTGACGTAATTACCGCCTGTTCAACGCCTGTAGCGGTCACAATCGAAGGAATAGGCGATCGAGATCAGCCATGGCACGCAATTAGATTGTTATCCAAGTCCGTGGCCATGGTCAGACAGCATTAGATTGCGAATTAATAATAATAATAAAAAAAGTTTTGAGGAATCAGATTATGCTGAAGATATGAATTATGTAGATGGTATCCAGCCATATGACATTTGCCAGAATTTCCAGATAGTGAGTTCAATTGAAACCAACCTGACGACTCTGAATAGGGTAACATAGACTGGTAGCATTGCATGTCCTGATCCTGAGCACTGATGAGAATTTTTTCGAATGAACGAGTTTGAGGGAAATTAAACAGAATTAGTCTCAATGTTGTCGATCAAAGATATTTCTAAATTTTAGCTGGAAAGTCAGTACTTTTCTTTATACACCGAGACGTATATACCTTATATGTCTCTGCTCTACAGTGAGAACTT